TTGGACATCAGAGTTCCTTCTGCTGTAGAATTCACTATCTTCATTGTTTAACCATTCAACCCATTGTAGAAGAGTTCGATTTGCATCCAACTTTGATAACCATGCTAATGGCATCTTCTAAGTAGATATCTGAATCTCTCCCATGCCTCATAGAATGGTTGAAATCCAACTGTTTGAACTGCCCAATTTCTCTCTGCAATTGAGCTGCTTTAGAAGGTAGAAAATATTTTGTAATAAACTTCTGAGCTAACTCCTCCTAAGTCGTGATGGCTCTATATGACAATGATTGGAACCATGCTTTGGCTTTATCCATCAAGGAGAAGTAGGATAAATGGAGTCTGATTGTATCTTCCGTATCGCCATTAATTTTCACGGTATCGCAGATCTCAACGAAGGAGCCAAGATAAGCATTTAGATCTTCAGTTGCAAAACCCCCGAACTGGTTTTGCTGTACCACGTATATCAATCCTAGCTTTAGCTCGAAATTGTTCACAAGATCATCTAGCATGCAATATTGGAGTATTTGTCGATGACCATTGATCTGACATAATCTCTAATGGCTAGCTATTGATTGTTTTGATTTGCTACTTGTTCTGCTTGCTGTGTCATTGTTTCAAGTTCGTTTCTTCTTATAACCCTTAAAAATTTTGAAAGTCCATTTTGCCTCAGGATCAATGGGTAGCAATCCAACACTCCTTGATCTTTGCATAAACTTGAAACGAAAACAGGAAAAACAATTAACAGAAAAGAAATCTAAATTAAAATGAAAGCTACTTGGTAATAACATCACCAAAAAATTAAACTAAACAATCCCTAGCAACAGTGCCAAAAACTTGTTACGCGTTTTCTACTAATTGAAATTGTTGCAAGTGTACAATATTAAGTTTTGTAATATAAAAATGGAGTTAAAGTGTCGAACCCATAGTGATTTTAATTCAATTTCGATTAAATACTATAATTATATAGCTTTTATTTTATCTAGATGAATGAATATTGTAAGTGACAATTCTAACTAAATCTAATATGATGATGATAGCAAATTCAACGAAACTGTGCAAATTTGAAGGCCTAGGGCATAATTTTACCTCAATCTCAACGTCGTTTCTCAATTATATAGTTACTTCTAATTAATTTTTCCAAGTTTATAAGCTAGAACCCTAATTCAATTCTATCCCCTCTTTTTAGTGTAGGATAAAAATTATTTCCAAATTCCAATTCCAATATCTTTATTTTGAATTAAAACGCAGAAATTAATAAGTTCGTGGTTCTAAAATAAGACAAGCTTCAAAGATTTTATACTCTTTCTCAAAACCTATAAAATCTAGGTTTTACTATTCTTATATCATGCCTAAATTCTCCTTTCTCGAGTGTTGGAATTGACTAGCATAAAATCATTCAATTATTGATCAAGTAATTGAAAGTATTAACCAATAACACAAATAAACTTTAATAGAAAAATAAACTAGAACTAAGTAAAATAAAATAAAATGTGTCTCAATTTATTGGTTACATCAAACCCTAGATAACGTGTGTTAGTTCATAATGGAGGACATGAAAACAATAAAAATTAATAAGAACAACATAAAGGGAGAAAAAGGAAAAAACTAGTGTAATAGCAATTCAATCTTCTTCAATCGTTTGATCTTGATCTTGTGCTTTGTCCCTTGTCCTCATGAGCCGTTCATTTTTCCAATTCCAGAAAAGTCCCCTAATTGTGGTCTCTTGAATGGTATTTATAATATTTTGGAGTCCTTGGGGGTGATTCGGGACAAGTTAGGCTAGAAAAATACTTTAAAATTTTTGAAAAACCTTAAATCCATAGGCAGCGTCGAGGAGCCACAGGCCGCGATCAACTTTCATCTAGGCACTGCAGTGCCACACGTTCTGTCTCTTCTACTGTATCCGAGTGTTGTGGCTCCCTGTCTTCTGTTCTGCTTCACGGCGCCCAGGTTTCCACTGGGTATCCTACTTATTCTTTTCTTCTGTTTTTTTTTTCTTATTCTTTTTCACACCTATCAATCACTCTAACCATCCTATAAAACAACATCCAAACACACATTAAAACATTCTAAATTATGCTCAAGGGTAATAAAATAATGAATTAAGTAGTATAAATATCATGAGTGTAGAACAATCATTAAACACTCTCAACCTAACACAAAACTATAAAAAATAAATAACTACTCCACAAGCACAACAACTCACCTAAAACAAATTTCGCTAGATATCTTGCCTTTATGGTTCAAGATTGAAAACATAATATCAATTTCATGAATCCCTTCAAAGCTATAATGTAAAAAGCTAAATTCTCATATATTCAATGCAAAACAAGTGTGTATGTGGAGAATTAATTGCAGCACTGTACATTCAAAAACTGACTCAACTCCTGACATTAAAAGTCAAATATATCATTTCTTCGCTTGCGAGATCCACACACCCCAAATTTATTTTCTTTTATTCCCTTCCCAATGGTGTAATTTAAGGTTGACTTACAAATCACTATTCCTTACCCTCTCTATTTTTGTTTTATTTTACTGATTGCAATTTAACATGTCAATAAATGAGGATTCTCTTTATTTTTTACTACTTCAAAATTCGAGAAATCAACTAAGTTATTAACCTCTCATCAAAGATGTAATTCTCTAAAACAGGTGTGGTGTTTATGGTACGTCTTCTAATTCATGCATTTTTTTCAATCTTATTTGTGGATATCTCTCCATGCTTTCTAAATGACCTTCTGTTGCGAGTTTTAGGTCGATGACTCCCAAATCAAATGAATTTAGGGTATTAAGTTTTAAATCCTTACATGTTTAATTACTCGAGTCATAAAGACTATGAATAGACTTCTCACAATAAGATTATTACAGTTGTCCTCATTGAAATCTTTTAAAGTAGCTTTATAGCAAGCAGCTTTTCCCTTTTATGCAGTGATTAGTGCAATACCCTTTATTAAACACTCATTCTCGAAAAATACAACGCTAAAAACTTGTCACTCGTTTTCTAAAAAATGAAATTTTCGTAAATGTACGGTGTCAAGTATTGTAATATAAAAATGGAGTTAGAGTGTCGAACCCACTGGAATTGTAATTCAATTTTAACTAAGTACTATAATTATATAGCTTTTATTTTATCTAGATGAATGAATATTTTAAGTGATTCTAACTAAATCTAATATGATGATGATAACGAATTCAATGAAACTATGCAAATTTGAAGTACTAGGATATGATTTCACCTCAATCTCAATCATGTCTCTCAATTATACGGTTACTTCTAATTAATTTTTTCAAGTTTATAAGCTAGAACCCTGATTTATTTCTATCTCCTCTCTCACGTGCAGGATAAAAATTATTTCCAAATTCCAATTCTAATATCTCTATTTCAAATTGAACCTAGAAATTAATAAGTTTGTCGTTCTAAAATGGGATAAGCTTCAAAGACTTTATACTTTCTCTCAAAATCCATAAATCTAGGTTGTCCTACTCTTAGATCTAGCCTAAATTCTCCTCCCTTGAGTTTCGAAATTGACTAGCATCAAATTATTCAATTATTAATCAGGTAATTGAAAGCATTAAAACAATAACACAAATAAACTTTAATGGAAACATCAAATAGAATTCACTAAAACAAAATCGAAACCTGTCTCAATTTATTGGTTACATCAAACCCTAGATATCTTGTTAGTTCATAATGGAAGACATGAAAACAATAAAAGTTATCAAGAACAACATAAAAGGAGAAATGAAAAAACTAGTCTAATAACAATTCAGTCTTTTGATCCTGATCCTGTGTTTTGTCCCTTGTCCTCTTGAGCCATTCTTTGTTCCAATTCCACAAAAAATCTCCCCAATTGTGGTCTCTTGAATGATATTTATAGCATTTTGGAGTCATTGCGGTGATTTGGGACAAGTTGGGTTGGAAAATACTTTAAAACATTTGAAAAACCCTAAATTCGTGGATGGCATCACAATCAACTTTCATTCGAGCGTTGCGGTGCCATACATTCTGTCTCTTTTATTGCGTCCGGGTGTTGCGGCGCCCTATCTTCTGTCTCCATTCTGCTAGGTGCTGCAGTGCCCAGGCTTCTGCTGGGTATCCTTCTTTTTCATACCTTTCATCGCTTAAACCAACAACATTAAAAAACATAGTAATACATTCTAAATTGCGCTCAAGGGTAACAAAATAATGAATTAAGTAGTATAAATATCACTAGTGTAGAACACTCATCGCCTTTTTGTGCAAATTATTCATATCTTTTTAATTTTACTGCATTTCACCCTTAGATGAAGCAAATACGCAAATAATCCTTCTTGTTTATTTCTTCCATTAAGGATTTGTAAAATATTGCTTTCATCTTTAAATAAACAAAAAGAGAAGAAAGAGACACAAAAAAATTTAAAGAAATAAATATAGCCAGAATCCCTATATTTAACCCAACATTTATGTAGTAATGCTATTTACAATCGCTTACTACCGTAATCGTCTTACGTAGCATATATGTAGCAGTTAGTCACATGTATAATACGTATAACAACTATAATGGTGAGCGACTATAAGTAGTATTATCCTAATGGTAATGGCGTTAAAATAAAAAAAAATTGAGACTCACTCCAATTCTGCCCAAGTGCTTGCTCATCTAAACTTTTACCTATTGAATTCTTAATAACACATGATTAAAAGCTCATCTAAACTTTTACCTATTAAATTCCAAATAATACATGATTAAAAGTACGAATGTTATAAAATGTGTAAATAAAAATAGAGTTTAATTTATTTAGGAACAATTATAGCCCTTGTTTGAGCCCCATATTCGGGGAAAAAATGTATTTTTAAATATTGATTTTTAAAAAAATGCGTGGTTAAAAAATAAAAAATCAATTTATGTATAAAATTATTTTATTTGAAGACGTGTAATAAAAAATAAATTTTTGAAAAAAATGATGGCTCAAACAACAACATAAACTAGACAAACACGCTCTACATTTTAATCGCTACGAAACCTCTTTATTGCACATGCCCGAAACATAAGCTCAGATTTTCCGCTGCTACCTCCCTCTGTAAAACCCTCAATTAGGGCTTTTCCCGCTCTATTACACACTCGTTTCCCTCCTTTCAAGTTTCAACGCGGAGGAGCTCCAATCTTCACTCTCATTTGCAGATTCGTAAATCTCAATCTTCATTTTCTTGCACTGTATATCTACCAGTTTTATCAATTCATTTGTGTTTGAGGCGCAATGGTATCGTCGAAGCAACTCTTATCGATAATCGAATCAGCCCTCCTCGGCCCCACACCGCCCACGCCATCCCAGAGAATCGAACTCATTCACGCCATTCGCCACTCTCTGCCTGCCTTCAAGTCCCTCTTCTCCTTCCCGGTAACCGCTCCCTATTTCTGCTCGTGTTTGTGTGTGTGTCATCCTCTGAATTTTATTTTTTCGATGTTTGGTGGAAAAAGTCAAAGGAAATGTATTCTATTTCGGATATGCAGCTACGATATTACATTATGGAACTAATATTTTGAAAAATAGCTTGTTCAGTAGTGTCTTTATCAGTGAAGTTTGGATAATTATGTTGGGAAAAAAATTCTAGTATGGAAGTATAGCATCAAGCTTCACATTCTTTTCTTCTTTTCCCTTCTCATGTAATTGCATTTCAATAACAATGTACTAGCACCTATTGATATATTTTAACATAGAAGTTGATGCAAATTACTGTTTTGACAATATATTAATAAACCTAGGAAGGACATACATGGATAGACTTATGCATTAGATTTTTCTTATTTAAGAAATTTTACCTTTTTAATATATTTTAATTTGTTTTGGTTTTAATTTGGAATGTGCTCTTGGTGATGATGCGAAAGGTAAATATGTACTTGAATTTCAATGTATTTATCCATTCTATTTTCCCCTCAAAATATGCAGCCTCCAAAACAGTCGGATAGAGCTCAAGTCCAATTAAAAGAAGTGAGACTGCCAGATACGGGGCCAATTTCACTTGATGATCAGGATGTTTGGATAGTACGTTAACCTGTTTTTCTTTCTTTGGTTCATTATTTGGCTGTGTGGATATAAATCATATAATACTGACTTCTAAGTTTCACTACATGTTGACTTTTAAATTTTTGGCACACGAATGACAATTTTTTGACACGCCTCGAGCATGTGCCTAGTGCTCTATGTGGTGCGTTCATTATTTTCTATATTTATTTTAGTATCAGACATGCAAAGATTTGTCATTGAACATCAAGGATATGACTATTTTTTAGATTTTATTCAAAAGATTTTGTGTACAAACTTGTATGCAAAGTTGAAAAAATTACAAATTAATTAAAATTATAAAGTATGTCAAATTGATTTCAATTGCCCCTCAGTGGAGGATTTTCATTTCAATATATAGAGAGCCGTGACTTGATACATGGTTGATTTATCGGTAATTACATCAATTTGTCTCCCTCTAAATATAGTAAGAATACATTATTTCTATATACAAAATCCTAATTATGCTAATTAGAATGTGTGATTTGGACAAGAATATTCCTGTTTAACATCCCCGTCAAATTGATGCTGGATGATCAAAAAGCATCAATTTGTCAATCATCATTTGATGGTGGTGGCGAGACAAGGCTTTGGTAAAAATATTAGCAGTCTGATGTTCGGTGAAAATGGAAGTGTAATCACTTGCTGATCAAGAGCTTCACGAATATATTGACAATCTACTTCAATATATTTGGTGCTTTCATGAAATATCGGATTTGTAGCAATTTGAATAGCACTAGTATTATCAGCATGGAGAGGAGTAGCAGTAATTTGGGGAAATGCCAAGTTTACCTAACAAATCGCGAAGCCAAACAATTTGTGAACAGGCAGATGACATGGCACGGTACTCAGATTCAGTGGAGGACTTCGAGACCCTATTTCGTTTCTTATTTTTCCAAGAAATAAGAGCATCTCCAAGAAACATGCACCAATCAGTAATTAAACGACGAGTATCCATACAACCAGCCCAATCAGCGTCACCATAACCCATTAACTGTAAAGAGTTGTCAGTAGAGAAAAATAATCCCCGATCAGAGGTACATTTGAGGTAACGAAGAATTCGTCGTACAACTGCTAAGTGAGGCTGACGAGGACTCTGCATAAATTGACTAATTTGCTGCATGGCAAATGAAATATCATGTCTAATAATCATCAAATAGTTCAAGCTTCCTACAAGCTATCGATATAGAGATGGATCAGTTAAAAGCTCTCCTTCATCCTGACTAAGCATTATGTTGACCTCTAGAGGTGTAAGAACAAAATTCCCTGACTGAAGATCGGTAGAGGTAAGAATCTCTTGAGTATATTTGTGTTGATGCAGAAGGAGACCATTTGGACAAGAACGTGCCTCAAGACCAAGAAAATACTTAAGAGAACCAAGATCTTTCATATGAAAGGTAGTATTGAGATGTTGATGTAGTTTCTCAATCAACTGAGTGTGAGACCCGATGATGACAATATCATCCACATACACTAACAACAAAACAATGCCAGTGGCAGTCTTCTTAAAAAAATAGAGATGAATCAAATTGACTTTGAGTAAAATGAAAATCAAGCAGAGTAGTACGGAATTTTTCAAACCATGCGCGCAGGGCCTACTTCAATCCATAGAGAGACCGCTTCAACCGACATACCTCAGTGGAAGAGTGAGTGAACATGCTGGGGACGGACTCATATAAATTTCCTTCTTCAAGTCCCCATGTAAGAACGCATTCTTTACGTCTATTTGTCGGAGAGGCCATCCTTTAGATGCGGCAATTGCCATAATAGTTCTTACAATAGTCATCTTCGCCACAGGCGCAAATGTTTCATCATAATCAAGGCCATATTCTTGAAGATTTCCAAGAGCCACCAATCGAGCCTTATACCTTTCCACAGAACCATCAAATCGAAGTTTGATGGCATATACCCATTTGCATCCAATAAGCTTTATTCCATTAGGACAAGGAACGATATCCCATGTATGATTATCCTGAAGAGCTTGAAGTTTTTCTTGTATAGCTTGTTGCCAACATGCATGAGTAGAAGCCTGAGAGTAAGATTTAGGCACAATAGTTGTATTAAGAATAGCTTGATGAGCAGCATGAGAGAAGCCATACTTATCTGGAGGTCGTGAAATCCGAGAAGACCGTCGAGGTGCAGTGATTGTGGGATCAGGCATCGGTTCAGTGTTAGAAGGGGACAGTGGAGATGATGGAGGACGTCTCTGGCACACAAATTTGGGTTTAAAGCGTTCAATAGTACATGACAAATCATCAAATTCAGGTAGCTGAATAGAAGTAGAGGGAAAATCAACACGAGATTGGAAGAAATATTGAGTTTCAAAGAAAACCACATTTAGAGAGATACGTAGCTTGTTAGCATCCGCATCATAACATACAAACCCTTTCTGTGTATTACTATACCTAAGGAATGCACATGCACATTGAGCAGCTTGTGCAGTAAGCTTGTGACATTCAGTGAAAGGTAGATGGACAAAGCAAATGCAACCAAAGATATGAAGAGAATTATATGTAGGTACAACACCGAACAACCGAAAATATGTAGAATCAAATTGTAAATTTTGAGAGGGAAGCCGATTAATCAAATAAATAGCTGTGGATAAAGCCTCTACCCAAAATCTAGGAGGCACAGAAGATTCAATCAACAAGGTACGAACAATATCTAAAAGATGACGATTCTTACGCTCATCAACCCCATTTTGTTGGGGAGTGTAAGGGCAAGAACGCTGAGAGAGAATCCTTTTTGTTTTGAGATATTCTTGAAATTCATTGGAAATGTATTCCCTTCCCAAATCAGAACGTAATATCTTAATATGTGTAGAAAATTGGGTCTCAACAAATGCAACGAAATTTTTAAACTTGGAAAACACATCAGCTTTAGAGCGAAGAAAATATATCCAAGTGAAATGACTATAGTCGTCAATGAATGTTACGAAATATTTATACTGAGCATGAGGAGGTATAGGACTCACATCCCATACATTAGAATGAATAATCTCAAAACATGTGGAAGCTCAATTAGCATGTGATGGAGTTTTGCTTTTACCAAGTTTACAAGAACCACAATTGGACGAAATATGAGAAAATGAATCTTTATTGCCCAAATAACCATTGTTTATTAGATGAGTAAAGACATTAGAGTTGGGATGACCCAATTTCTTATGCCAAACATTACGATAAGTAGCAATTGCAATACAAGCAAATGAATCAGAAATGGAAAACTGAAAAGGAAATAAATGTCCCACTTTAGGCCCCTTTGCGATCACTTTCTCCGATGCTAGATCCAGCACACAACCATAACGATTAAAATGAATTTCACAATTATCATCTACTAACTGCCCAACAGAAATTATATTCGTAGATAATTCTGATGATACAAATACATTGGTAAAAAAAGATCCCAAATTTTCGATTGCTTTGATAGGTAGAGTATTGCCATTGGCTATTTGAATATGTTGATCACCCTCATACATACGAATATCATGCAGTGCCTCTGTACTACCAGTCATATGTTTGGATGCTGCAGAATCTACTAGCCAAGAAGAGGTAAGTAGATTTTTCTTACCTTGAAAACCAAGAGCAGTAAAGGCAGAAACAATCATCTGTTGGACCATCTCAGGTGAAAGAGTAGTGGAAGAACCAGTTGGAGGTGTGGCACACGAATTAGGCTGGACAGTAGTGTGAAAAGCCGTCCCTTGTCTAATTTAAGGCCGTACTCGATAGTCTTTAATGATTTGCCCTTCCTTTTTGCAGTAATTGCTAAATTTTCTAGTGCAATTTTTCGCAATATGCCTAAACTCCTTACAACTGCAGCACTGTACCTGTGTCTTGAATTTTCTTTTCCCTTGAGCGGGGTATGCCACATTAACCATCTCAGTAGTCGTTTATGGAATTATCCCAAGTTGCGTGGCAAGATGTTGTTCCTCACATAGCAATTCTCCTAGGCATACATCCAAAGAGGGAACAGGAGTACGATTCAAAAAATTAGCCCGCACAATCTCAAATTTTGGTCTTAGCTTCATCAGAAATTGATCTCTCTTACTCTCAGCATGAATAGCTTGAAGTGCCGCTAAAGCTTCCTTAGGGACTTTGGAATGAACTATCCCATAGTATTCACTTCACACATTAAGAAATCTAGCATAAAATTGATCAACAGAAAGATTACCCTGATTGTAGCTGGCAATTTCTAGCTCCAATTGAAACTTTCGAGCACTGTTGTCTTGATAGTAAATATGCTTGAGATAATCCTAGATTTCTTTGGTTGTAGTGAATGAACGGAGATTATTGACCATATGTGGTTCAGTAGAACTCAATAGCCATGAAGCAATCTTAGCATCCTTGCTTTCCGATGAATTAAGTTCTTTAGCATCAGTCGGTGCCTTAGAAGATCCATCTAAATGACCCCATAGTTCTTTTCCTTTCACAACCATCCAGAATTGAAATTCCCAACTCGAGTAATTTTTTCCATTAAAACGAGTAATAGAATTTCTCCCGACATAATGAAGCAAGAAAATAATTTACTACTTAAATCCAACAAAGTAGCAATGCAAATAAACTAGTCCAAGTCCAATAGAATAGCCCAACAAAGGATTAAAGTTCAAGAATTTAATAATAGCAGCCCAACAGATTAAAATCCAATATCCTAGTAATATGGTCCAACAATAGAAGGCCCAATCAGAAAAAAATTCTGTCCAGAAACAACCAAATCTGGTCTTGCCTCAAATCAGTAGAAGCCCAAACCTGAAATTGTCGACCGATGACTTCGTGTTATTGCCTTGGCGATTCACACCGAACCAATCCAAGAATCGCTCGTTCCTGTCGACGCCTGGAGCGAATGAGCTGAAGGAGAAGACGGCTCCGAAATTTCATGCTGACACAACCGGAAATCGAACCACGGAGAACTCCAAATATCGAGAGTGCACCGGATACCATCAACTGCACTTTTGCTCTCTCGAGATTGCCGACCGGACTCAGAACCCGAGAACGACGGCCCAGAACCAGAGTATTAAACCAAGAGATAAGTCTAAAAAATCAAGGAAGGGTCTGATACCATGTCAAATTAATTTCAAATGCCCCTCAATGGAGGATTTTTATTTCAATATATAGAGAGCCGTGACTTGATACATGGCTGATTTATTGGTAATTACATCAATTTGTCTCCCTCTAAATATAGTAAGAATACATTATTCTATATACAAAATCCTAATTATTCTAATTAGAATGTGTGATTTGGACAAGAATATTCGTGTTTAACAAAGTACACTGAAGATATGATGTCTTTTGAAGAATTTTAATCAACTCTTCCCTTGCGCGTCAGTGTGGCTTTTTTGAAAAGTTGTGTCCCATGTCCACATCTGTGCTGTATAAATCAAGAGTATATGCTCGTGCGAAATAACTCAGTGGGGTAGATTTTTAGAATTTGTAGTGAGAAAGAAAAACAGAATGGAGCAGGTGGGCAATAAACAATTTGGATATCTCACAAAGACAATTATATTTTCCATGGCAACACGTGTCTTGCATAACCTACTTTGTTCTCTTCAATCTAACCTATTCCCACTACTAAACATTGTTCTCTGTATTAAGTGTCAGACAATTTTTATTGATTTTGAACATGAAATTCTCTTTCAGTTGAATGGCTTTATTATATTAATTACAATGCACTGGTCAGGTTCATGGTTTATGGTTGATTTTATATTTAACATCTGGGAAGTTGAGGCTTTGATATGCTAGATGAGGGAGATTGGAAATTGGAAAATGTGATGGTGGCGAAGGCCTGTGAGATAATATTGAGATGCACTTCCATGTGGTGGAATCATGCAAGATATGGGGAACTTTCTATATTTCCCTTCCTTTAGATTTCCTTAGTTGAACCATGATATGTATTTTTCAAAAGCTTGTTTGAGAACTTGTACAGAGAAGGAAACATGCCTTGATATAATGCAGGAACTTCTGAGACCTGTCTGGTATAACTTCCATATCATTGGTTAATTGTGTGGAGAAGCGCTGTCATTTTTTCACATTTAAAAACATGGCTTAACCATGAAGTCGAAATTTGGCGGGATGGTTACAATGTGTCTACTACAAGAAGAGGACTCTAATTTGCCGGTTGTTTTAGTTATTGATAGCATGCAACAATTCATACAAATGGTTATAGCAGCACTGATGATATCTGATTTCGATGTTGGCACTATGACTGACCTAGAGGATAAGAGTGTCTCATATTCTTTTGCTGCTTATACCTGTTTTTATGTGAGAATTGTTGGTCAAATTAGAAGTACGTATTCAGTGGTTTTCAGCAGTGTCTAGATGGAGGGTTAATGTTGCGAGAAGTGAAACTTTTTGGTGGATGTTTCTAGTGTTTTATGTTGACATATATCCTTAGTTTTATGCTTACCCACATTCTACCTTAGCTTGCCTTTGGGATTTGCTTATAAATCACCAGAGGTTTGAAATTCTACTGTGAAGAGTTTTGAAAGAAAGTTACCTGCCATGGGATTAGTTAAATATGCTTAATAGCACCTTATCTAGTTTAGCCAGTTATATAATTATGTCTATGTTCCTGATTCCCACTTTCTTAACTCTCAAATTGAGAAGTTACTGAGCTATTCCTTGAGTGCAAAGCAAGAAACCTGTCAGATTTGGAGGCCTTGATACTAGAGGTCTTCTGACTTTCAAAGGCCAAAAGCTTGTATGATGGGTTTTCAAAGTCAGATAAATATGGTTGTGAGTGGGGATATTGGTGCTCTGTATTAACTTGTGACTTCTTATGTGGCAGAGCTCTTAAAATTCATTTGACTTTTCCATCGGCCATGGGAACAGTGTCAGGTCCTTGGTGTTTGGGGTTAAGACGACGTTGGTTGGCTGTTCATTTTTTCCACCAATGAATTTGTTTCCTTTGGCAGAATTCATATATTCTCTAATGATGCAATGTGCATTCTGAACTTACAAGGATGTTGAAGGATTTTGAGGTCCAGAAATCTACTTCTGGAATTATATGGTTCAGTACAAATGGTGCTGAGGATATTTGTGTGGAAACTTACTGCTGACGCTGAGTTCATTGTCAGATCCTTTGGTACCCTCTTACTGAAGTGCAAGAAGAATGTTTTTCCTTGGAAAGATGTGCTTGGGATCATATACGTGAAGAAATTTGCCTTCTTTGATTCAGAAAAGTTAATGAGGCAGTATTTACTGGAGACAATCACTAGAACTAAAAAATCTAGTGAAATCATATCTATTACAACTACACCTCTTCCTTTTCACATCCGTTCCTTTAAATCACTCATGAGAACGGGAACAATGTTAGGTCTATTTAAGACAGTGTCCCCACCTCTTAACAAAACTTCCCTTAATTTACCCCCAAATTCAAATACCTTTATTAACGATCTGATCAAGTGGCTGTTGATTTTTGTTCTGACACTTCAGCTTTATCCAGAACTCCCTTTACTATTGCATAATATTTTTATTATTTGACCCTTAGGCTTTGAAGTTGAGTGATGACCTCCATCTCAATGAAATAGACTGCGTGCAATTGCTTGTTTCTGCCAATCAAGAGGTAAAATCTTTGCTGCTATGCGCACTTTTATTATTCTATTTATGTACAAACAGTTTTTGAGTTGAGCACAATTGAAGGAAGTTGATTTTTGTATATTTAACTGCTAATGCCTATTAATTTCTTGATTTATTCATTTTCTTGAAGTTTTATCCTTTTTTTTAATCTATCCAGTGGGGTTTGCTTGGTCGAGAGCCCTTAGATATTTTACGTCTTGCTGCTGGACTTTGGTATACAGAGAGAAGAAGCCTAATAACAGCACTTTACACACTATTGAGGGTATGGTTTCATTCTAGTAGGATATGCAAAATGAATGGTCTTTTATGTATTTTCTTGCTTGGAATCATTTGGTGTCTTTTGCAGGCTGTTGTTCTTGACCAGGGATTTGAAGCTGATCTTGTAGCTGATATACAGAAATATTTGGAAGATCTTATAAGTGCTGGACTTAGACACCGCTTGATTTCACTCATGAAGGTTTTCACATTATTACCATTGCATTTTTATTCTCAAGAATGATAGGGTGTTATCATTAGAGTGCTCTAGCTTTTCATTTTCTTCATTTATATTGAAGCATGTTCGCACGCCCTTGGGTTCGGAGTGGCTCTATTGCTTGTGAAAGTTTGCTCAGAAATTGCTGAGCTTTATAAATGGTAATAAGCAATGAGTTCATCTGATGAAATTTTTATGGTGTAAAAAATGGAAGAAGGGTAGTCACCATACTGGAATAGGTACATCCATTTTAAGTATACAAATAAAAATCGAAAATTTTTGTGAAGCACTTTTAAGGTATATATGTACCTTAGAATCATGAAATTAATGTGGTCCATGGAATGTATATGAAGGCGTAAGACTCTTCTTGAGTTACTAGGCAACCTGGATTGGTGATTGATATGATTGCTTTTATCATTGACATTTATTGCATTTGGGCTTTGTCCATATTTGTTATCTTATTTATATAGGAACTCAATAGAGAAGAGCCAACTGGTATTGGTGGGCCTAATTCTGAGCATTACATTCTCGACTCAAGGGGTTCTCTAGTAGAAAGGCGAGCTGTAATTTGTAGGGAAAGGCTCATCCTTGGTCATTGCCTTGTTCTTTCTGCTTTGATTGAACACGCAGGTAAGCTTCCAAAAGCAGATAATTGTTGGATTTTATTTTCTGGATGTTAAATATGTGACGGTGAAATATAGAACATACCTTAAAATTTATCCAATTTGTAATTTGATTATATGATAAATCTTATGTTTATATGGATTTATATATTTCATGATGATCACAATTGAATTTACTGTAGCGAAGATAAACCATTAGAGTTGTCTCAATTCAATCTTTCCTGCTTTTTAGTCATTCTATTGTTTGTGAAAACATACCACAGCACTTGTCTTGTGTGTTTATTGGTTCGAATTAATAATTGAAGCCTTTCAGCCAACATTGACCGTGCATATTTCACATTCCTGTTAGTCTGTTCGATCATTTGGGGTTAAAAGGTTTAACATTTTTTTCAGCATTTACCATTTTTCATGCTCAATTCAGATGCATAAAAAAAGAGCCGAAATCAGCATCAGTCACATTTCTTGATATCCGGCTACCTTCGTCCTCAAAGCAGAGTTGTGGTTGAGTGTGTGTGTTCTGGAAGTAGAAACTTTACGTGCCTGTGTATTATGAGCAATTGCAGGCCACTCGTTCTGATAAGACATGCTGAAAAATGTAGTTTCTGTTGATTTGGGAGACATGCTGCCTGTGCTTTTATCAGCTTGTCGTTATGGGCCATCTTGTTTATTTTCTTCTTTGTCCTTTATATCAAAATGAATTGCACCTGTTGTTGCCTTCTCACTGAAGTTACATTCTGTAACCAATCTAAGAATCGAGTTGCTGAAAGTACTAGTAGATCCTTTCCCAAATTTTATAAATGCTTTACATTTCCATCGAGCGACACAATGTCTCTGGCTTTTGGCTATAAAATAATGATTGTAATTGTAATAGAGCATGAACGTAAGGAATACTTTGGAAGAGCTGCAGTTATGAAATGTGATTACATTTGCTCTTTGCAGATTCTAAAGACATAAAAGACATGTTTTTTGCTTTAAAAGATGGTGCTGTTGAATATAGTGGGAGCACAGATTCCTTAGAGCATCAGGTCTTGGATTTTTGCTCGTGTTTCTCTGTTATTTGTGCTTTGTTAGTGGCATAAAGGCTTAATAATTACATGATATTTCTTATATTTATTCATTTCTTGAAATTGTTTTAAAATGCACTCTCATAACCACGATTATGCTGGTAAAATATGCATATCTAAATAGCTTAGACTACTCAACCCATTTACTTGAGTTTTTACCAATGTTGACAGTCTTCACTTCACCATTTACGCTGCTATTGTATTTCTTTCAAAAGCAAAGTTGCTCAGAAACCTACGTCTCCCACTTAAGATCAGTAGAGTTCTGAATTTTCAATTCCCATTTTTATGCTTCTAGTTTATTTACACTTGTCTAGTAATTATCCAGGAGTATGAGACAGTGTAGGTTGGGTTCCACAGGGTTAGGAGGTCATTTTTCTTATTAGGGGTGCAATATAAAGAGATTTGTGTATAAATGTATTTACTCTGACAGTACCCAATGCAAATGAGGATGGGATATGATTAATTTTATTTCAATTTTTCCAAATCTTGACAAAAAATGCTCTACTTGTAATCTGTTATTAATTCATTTTTGGTACGAATTAGAATTTTGTCAATACTGGCTTAAAAGAGTGTATATCAAGTGGACAAAATAGGAATAAAGTTAATAAGTAAAATCTAGACTACCTCACATTCTCCCAACTAAGAACAACTAAAGATGAGTGTTGTACGACATTAAGATTATCTGGCTTCAGTTGTAGAAGGGTTGCCACATTCTCTTCTCTTCTTTAAGGGTGGGGGTGGGTGATAGAGGGAATAAGAAAACCTCTCTTGCCCACACTTGCTAATATTTGAGAGTTCTGTTACTCACATGGTATACATTCTTGTTCCTACCTGCAGATTACATATAGCCTTCTTTTCTCTCTTGTGATCGCTCTCGTATCAGATGCATTGAGCACGGGACCTGACAAAGTTCCTGTCCTGTCTTCTGACATTTCTTTTAGGCGTGAATTTCAGGAGATTGTAAGTACTTATCTTATACTGTTGTTGCGTCTCCACCATCACGAACCTTATTGAAGATAATTCTTCCTTCAGGTGATGACTTCTGCAAATGATCCTACTGTTGAAGGCTTTGTTGATTGTGTAAGGTTTGCGTGGGTTGTACATTTGATGTTGATACAAGATGGAAGAGAGCTAAAGGAGAGCGTAGCTAGTGCTTTGTCTAATGAGATGAAATATACTTACTCATGCTTGGAAGCCATTTTTGCCAATAATGTTTTCCAGTTTTACTTGGATAAGATTCTTCGAACAGCAGCTTACCAGGTTGGTGTGAAATTCCTGTCATATGATTTTAAGAACTACTTGTAATGTCCTTTTCATCTTTTCTTCACTTGTTTTGTGTTGTGTTGTGTTGTGTCTGTCATATTTTTCATTGTACAATCATAAAGACAATTTTCAATATTTATTTCTCTGTCAACATATTTTGATAGCTGAAGTGAACCGCAGAAGTCCTTTATGCATGAAAGAAAGAAAAAAACTATCAATCAATTCAGAGGAAAAGATGAATATAATTGAAAAGATAAACTCCTAGAAAAGACAAAACATAACTATAGTAGGAAACTATTAATTGTAGTTGTGATGTACTATATCAATCCTCTCAACTTGAAGAAAATTCGTCTTAGAGTTTGGTTGAAGAAAAGAAAATTAGTTAGTCAGGAGGAAAATATTCAAAATTTTTTGTCAATACTGATATTGAAGAAATTTCAATTTTTTGATGTGCTTGATAAACATCATATTCTTCAGTTCCATTGTTTGAAGTCAATTTTGCTTCTTCCATACTCATTCTGTTTTCTTCACAGATAATTCCTACACAATATTTCTTCATGAACGAAGCATGGTTTGATTTTTCATAGTTGAGTCCATTCTTGATAAAGATCATAGATTCTATTTTCGATTCTTCTCACTTTTTATCCTCTGCTATAATGTGTAGTGATGCTCTCTTCAATACAAAAGAATTGGTACGAAGACTGAAATCCTCATCGTCTATATTTTCCTTATTCTCATGCAATTCGTTGGCACTGAAATTGTAGAAAATGTCAACAAAATTTTTATTATCATTTTGACACACCTCACCTATGATTCCTTCGTGATTGAAAATTTTAATTCTCTCGTCTCTTGTTGGAAAATTCTGAACTTCAACTAGTTAATCATTGAAGTGCGGCTCAATCTTGCTATTTTCAATTGTGATTTCACCGAAGTGTTTTTCATCATTACGCTTATTTTCAGTGTTAATTTCCATGTATAAGGGATCATTAGGTTTCGGATTTTCAACATGCATATGCTTTTCTTTCTCTATTGTACTAACGATAACATTTCTATTATTTTGAATTACATCTTGTTTAACCTCATCATTTTTCTTGTGAATCTTTTTCTCTTTGTTGACACAAGAGCTCACAAATTGTTCGTCACATGCTACCAAAATAATCTTCTTATCATACCCCCAAAACATATCCCTGTTATCTCGACTTACATAAGCGGTATCTACATTACAGTACAATGGTTGTCTCCAAAGTACATGACAATCATTCTTACTTGTCACATGATAAGTGGACATATTATGATTGTAGCCATTTTGTGTATATCAATGGGGTTGTTGCATGTTTCAAGGTTTGTGGACTGTGCTCCTTTAATGCACATGTTACTCATGCATGATCTTATCTGTATGTTCGAAATAATTTTTTATTTTTTTAGTATCTACATTACAGTACAATGGTTGTCTCCAAAGTACATGACAATCATTCATCTCTACCACATTACATATAATCTTATCTCTGTAGTATTTTCTAAGAGAGTGAAATTTTGCATACCTCTATGTTTTGAATTTCTTGTCTCCTTTTAACATGTGAAGCTTGATAGGAAGATGAATATTTTTCGCTCTTTAAATTTAAAGCGTTCACCAATGCTTTGGATACCAAGGTCTCACTATTTTCATGATTTATTATCACCTTCCATACTTTGTTGTTGATGGTGTGCGTGTTCTAAAAATCGTCTTGCACTTCAAATTGGACTCTTTTATATCTTAAGGAAAATTGCAGCAGAGGCCCCGAACCTTTAAAACATTAGCAGACTTTTCCCAAATCTTTAATTTGTTGCAACCGTCATCTCAAACCTTTTGAAACATTGCGGCGGAGGCCCTTTTTGATGGTTTTCATCCAAATGTTTGTTAGTTGATCAAAAAATTTGACTCTGACCATATTTTTAATATTTTTGAAAGGGTAAAATAGTAACTTTTCATTTATTACATTAAAATAAGTTAGAAATTAAATTTAAAAAAAAAGAAATTAGAAAATAAAAATCAATCTTCTTCTTCCTCCCACCCCCAGCCCAAAATCAATTCCCGACCACCTCCACCTCCATTCCCTGCCGTAAAGACCCAAATCATAATGTAACCCAGAAAAATAAGCTTGGAAGGGAAGAATGAGGATTATGGAGAGATAGAGATTTTATGGGTGGTTGCCTCTCTCCAAAGTCGATGATTTTTCCACATTACTAGCAACAAAAAATCAGTAGCCCTTGGAAAATTGCAGAGGAAGCAGCATATATGATTGTGAAACATTCCATTGATTTTACCATACATCCTTAATTTTGGAAGTGACTTACAGAAAAACCTTTTTTTTTAACCATAGATCTGTGGCCTGTGGGTTACATTTTGGTTTCTTTGTCTTTATATTTCTATGGGTTACATTTTGGTTTGGATTTTTAAGGTTGAGAATGGATATGGAGGTGGGGGTGGATGCCACACGATTTATGAAACGTGATTTTATATCGCAAGTGTACGATGTTAAGTTTTGTAATATAGTAATAGAGTAAAGAGTGTCGAACCCACAGGGATTATAATTTAAATTTCACTACGTACAATAATTGTGCAATTTCTGCTTTATTTAGACAAATGTATGATTAAATGGATTTAATGTTTTATGAGTGAATAAATTAAACTAATCTAACGTGAATTGGATGCGAAAAAATTGGGGAATACAAATTATCAAATGAGAAGGCCTAGGGATTGATTCACCTAACTTTCAATTATGATTTAACGATTTCCAATAATTCCATGTAATTTTTCCATATTTAAAAGCAAGAATCCTAATATATTCCTCTCCCTTCTCTCGAGTGCCGGCTAGAAAATAATCCTAGATTCCAATTCCAATATCTCTATTCTGAATTGAAAATCAAGAATTTATAAAAGTCTCGATTCTTGTATGCAGAGTAAGCTTCACCGATTTTACACTTTCTCTCGAAACCCATAAAATCCATGTTGTGTCAATCTTATGGTCACGCCTAAATTCCCCTCTCTCGAGTGCCAGAATTGACTATCATCTATTTATTCAATTATTGATCAAGTAATTGAAAGCATTAAAATCATGACACAATTAAATATATGTGGAAAAATCAAAGAAATAATTATAAAATCATCAAACTATACTCGATTTGGCTACATCAAACCCCCAGATAATTTGTTTAGTTCATGATATAATAAATGAAAATCATACAAATTATAATAAATAACATAAGGAAAATGATAGAAAAAACTAGTCTTTTGGGTAGATCTTCAATCTTTTTCCTTGATATTGTTCCTCCTTCCTTTTTGTGTCGTCAATTTTCCTCCTTCAAATTGTGTGGTTGAATTCTTCAATCTTGCCCCTTTCCATCCTTCTTGAAAATAGGTCTTTTAAATGATATTTATAGTATCTTGAAGTTATTGGACGAATTAGGGTTGAGTTGGGCCAAGAAAAGATTCCAAAAATATAAAATCCCGTTTTTTCTCACAGGCGGCGCCTTAGCGCCTAAGATGGTCGCCGCGGCATCGCGTTCACTGTTAATTTTCAGCATCATGGCGCCCACTTCGGGTGGAAAAGGAAGTTTTCGCCTCCTTCACTATTTTTGCCATAATTTCTTTGTCCGATGTCCGATTGAGGTGATTCAAGATGCGTTGGAAAGGTAATTCAAAGGGCTATAACATTTCTTCAAACATCATTTTCCAATTCGATCGTTTACTATGTCAGAAATAGGTCTCAAAATGAGACTGAAATTCTGGAGCATAACTTTTCGATTGGAAATTGATTTGTATTTGCCTAAATTTGATCCCTTTGACATCTTTCCTCATCCAATTGACTCCTAACACTCTCGGATCTTGATGGCAAGGTTCGATACAAGTTTGGATTATTTACATTTTAGTCCCCGAACTTTGAATCTTTTACAATATGGCCTATTCTCTCCAATTTTGCTAACTTTTGCTTAATTCTTCCAATTTCATCAATCTACATCACAACATCAAAACACATTAAAACGTTCTAAAACACTCTCAAGAGTAGCAAAATAACAAACTAGGTGGCATAAATATCATGAGTGTAGAGCACTCATCAAGCTTGCTTTAACAATATATGACCCTAATCTTCAGGGAGGGGGGGAGAAGAAAATGATTGGTTTTTATTTTCTAATTTCTTTTTTTTTAAAATTTAATTTCTAACTTATTTTAATGTAATAAATGAAAAGTTGTTATTTTACCCTTTCAAAAATATTAAAAATATGGTCAAAGTCAAATTTTTTGGTCAACTAACAGATATTTGGATGAAAACCGTCAAAAAGGGCCTCCGTCGCAATGTTTCGAAAGGTTTGGGTGACAGCTGCAACAAATTAAAGGTTTGGAGAAAGTCTGCTAATATTTTAAAGGTTTGGGGCCTCTGCTGCAATTTTCCCTATATCTTATTCATAAAGCATCGTAGAATCCTTAATAACTTGTGTGTATTCAAACTTAGTTGGAATTCAAGGAAACTCTCTAGCCATTTGTTGACGTGTTTTAAGCTTGTTGAAGCAACCAACAACCATAGCAATTAAAGTTTGCAAATATTTGTCGGCTTGCTTTCCCATGGGCTCGCGATTCCTTTCAAGACTCAACGGAGTCAGCATTTGTTTGATGTTGTGAAGGGTTTCGTCGATCCTCTCGATTTGTTCTTCGAGTTTATCGAGCCTCCATTCGTCGTCGACAATTCGATTGTCACTTGGACCATCGTCAGCTTTCAGATTAATATAATTTCTTTGCTCTGATACCAATTTTGGTGCGGAAGCATTATGAACTTCTTGTAATAAGATCACATAATAAACTAAGAAGAATATTGGAATAACTTGTTTTGATATTAATTGAATAATGACTAATGATACGAAAAGTGTACAATACCCCTATATTTATAAGTAAGCTTATTTCCTACTTCCAATAGTATTAAGATATTAAAACTAAGGCCCTGTTTGATTGCACAAATTTTTCATGGAAGCTGGAAATTAAATCCCATTTTCACGTTTTTTGCATGTTAGATTGGCCAATTTTTTTTAGCAATTAGTCATGTAACCCCTTTTTCCACCTTTCGGAATTGGTTTTCCCATGGGTTGGTGGTTTTTGGTTTTCCAGGTTTTTATTTTTTATTTTTGGCAATTTAAACAAATTCTATCCCCAATTGTAACAAATTCTATCCCTTTAATTGATAATTTCCATGGAAAATAAAGTCAAACAAACACAAAAAGATTCAAAATTTAAATATTTTTCAATTGAAAAATTATACCAATTAAACACATTTAATTGACAATTTTACAATTTTCAGTAAAACAAGTTCTAGGCAACTCAATTCCCTAAAATTTGTTTTCTTTCTATTCAAATTTTATTCTTGCAATCAAACAGACCCTAATTGAAACTCTAATCCAAATTAAATAAAGAAAAAAAGTCCCATCACAGTTATACAGGAAAACTAAAATGATAAATATAATTGAAAGGATAAACTCCTAGAAAAGATAAAGCATAATTATAGTAGGAAACTATTAATTATTGTTGTGATGTGCTACATCATTAACAATTTTTTAGGAATAGACAATTTTCTGGTGTATCTAGTAAAATAGTTGGCCTAACATTCAGTTCCTATAATGAAGTTTTTCCTAGTTGGCGTGACATTCAGTCAAGTTTTCTCCTCTTTGTTTTTAATTGCTCTGTATAAAAGAAGACTTCGTCCTAATGCCTATGTGGTTGCCATGAACTTGCATTTCCCGTCTGGAATCTGAGAACTGTTCCATAACTACCAAAATTATTTTTATCATTGTTCTCATTATTGCTATTATCCATTTTATCCATGATTATGAAATTTTATTTCTGCCATTTATTGGCTCTTAATTTGTAAACTACTGGCCACAAATTGTTTCATTGAAACCTGGAAATTCTGGTAGGATCATAGTTTTTATTGATTTGTATTTTGTCTTTTTACATGCTATGTTGTACTGCCAGAAACATTTGGGGACTAACTTATTGCTGTTAGCTGCATTTGCATGAATTTTGTTTTTCACATAATCTAATGATGAACTGAATGAAGTAGTGAAAAAAGGATTAATGTAGACGACCAGAAATATATTGGGGATAAAGCTTGTAGTGAAAAAAGGATTAATGTAGACAATCTCAAATTTATTGGGGATAAGGCTTAGTTTCATACTTCCATTATATAGCTATATATACCACCCATTTTCATAAAAAAAGATTATTACAGTTAGTTCTGATGTCTTATATACATATCTTATGAATTCAGTTTGACGTGATTTTGCTGCAAAATGTTGTAATATATTTATCTTCTTGAGCCTGTGGACAGTTTGAATTATATTGTTTCTTGTGCAGAACGATGATGAAGATATGATCTACATGTACAATGCCTATCTTCACAAGCAAATCACGTGCTTTCTTTCTCATCCACTTGCCAGAGACAAGGTTGGTTGAGTTTATCTTTTTGTTGTTAATATATGATTATCAAATCTTTAGTACTGAATTTTTAGAATAGGACTTCAAAAAGGTCACCAGTAAGGATGTTTTCTTTATAAAACTGTTAACTTCATCCTGTTATCTCCTAGCAGTAAAGAAGAATCTTCTGTTCATTTCTGTTTCCTTGGACAATTTTGAATGGTGCCAACATAATCCATCTAATATGAATTATTTGCTCCAATATAGTGATATACTACCTTTACATGTTAAAACGACGGTTAGTTTATATGGCTAGTGGGCATTGTTCATAGTGTTAGTTACATGAGAAGGCTTATTTGTTATCTTACAGTGATGTGTGATGTTTTCTTTGTGACTATGCTGAGGTAAAGAAAAAAAATGCCGTTTGATGTGCAACTATTAGATGACTTTCAATTTATGATGCTGTAAATGCTTGGGCCTCCTCTTGTGCTATTCATGCTTAATTGCTCAAATATTTTAGACAAATTTTCTGCTTGCTTTTCCTCAATCTTTATGATTTGGGTTACTCACATAATGATTGTATATCCACTCTATCTTTGTAATCATAATCTAAGCATTCGTTTGGAAAGAATTATAAACGGTTTAATTTATAAATAGGTTGAAATGAGTGATGGATAAGTGGATGGGTACTTGTTAGTCCATTGGAATGTGATTGAAAGTGAAGTTTGACAGTATATAAATACTTCATAATTTTTGTGAATTAGAGGCTAAATAAATGTGCTCTGAGATATTGAAATAAGACACCTGTAGGACTTCTGATTCTATTGATGGATTTTGTTCCATTAAAGTCGGTCTGATTTAGTTTAATGGAGCTGTGGCTGCAGATGAACTGATATTCATGAACATCTGATGTTTGGCTCTGGTGGGATTCTGTCATGTTTATATTCCTTGGCTCGTTAGGGCTCATTCATGACCACCTGATGTTATTTCTTCTTTATACACTTCTAGATACACAATTAATTTATTGATACAAATGACAACCCTAAGTTATCTTAACATAATAAATTTGCACTCATCAAATTCAAAATATTTTACCTGTTAAACTTGTCCATTCCCATGTGTCGTGTATTCTGAAAATAAATTTGTGAATATATTTTATGTCTTAAGAAAAACGTAATTTTTTCTTTTTACTTTTCATTCAAATTCAAGCTGTTAACAAATTGATGATTTTCTTGCAAACGATCAACTGGGCTACAACATACAGTTTGGGCTGCTCATATAATCTGCTGCTTGATTTGGCTCATCTGTCGCTCTAATTTGATGTAAATCTAAATGCTATTCAATTTTGTTTAATTCTGGTTCTTTTTGGTGTATAAATTATAATGTTACATTTTGCATGGTTCTGTCGGTCCATTCAAATATACATGTTGTCTACTTTTGCCAATTCATGCTAAGGAATAAGCAGCCAGAATCAGTTTGCTTCTCTGTCTTTTTAAGTACAAGGATCATCATGAAGTTGAAACATAGTTACTTGGATAACAAGAAGTATAAAGAAAAGAACTTGTGCAATTGGTGGGTCTGGAAACATTGTTAACCTGAATGTTACCTACTCTGGAAAGTTTGTCGTGCCTTAATCGTTTCATAGATTTATTTGTAAGGAAGGTCAGCTTAAAACTAGCCCGTCTCTTAATAGGGCTGGACAATAAGCTACAAACATGTCACTATTTATTTTGGTTCGTCGAGGAAAATCTTATTTATTGTACATATATACGGACAACATTCTTGCGATACCAGAAGATTCTTTAGTTTGAACCTTTGGTAGGTATTAGGGAGATTGTGGTTCAAAGTGAGGGAAAGAGAGATTGGGAAGAGCCGAAGAAGGATACAAGAGGGAGGGAGGGGCCAATATCAAATATAGAGTCTACATAACTGAAGGCCCTTGCTTCTATTTATAAGTTTAAAAATCTAGGCTGAACGATGAAAGCTACCAAACTGAACAAATAAAAAATTTCCCAAGTTTAAAAATTATAACTACGTGAAGGAAATAAATCAATTACAAGAAAATCCATCAACACAATTCTAATTTTTTCTTGAATTCTACTCCCTGAAATGAGGGCATATTTTTGAACGCCGCTTTTCATCGAATGCCTTGCCAGAATATTATGTTGATTTTTGGTGATCAGTATTAGTTGGGAACCTTTATCCCATATGGTTGTTTTTTATTGCATTTCTCCATTTCCTTTTTGCATATAATAGAAATTTTTAGGCTGCTAGTATCTCAAGCTTCTTTTAAGAGGACTGATCTTGGCTCTTCTAAAGCCTGAAGGACAGTGAAACAACTAAGATTTTGCATATTTGTAGCTGGTTTAGTTTTTGAGATAGGGTTGAGTCTTCTCATTAAGGTATGTGCAAAAGGTCTTTAAATTAGATACATTTCATAAAGCAGTATTCTTGGGAAATGTATTGCATAAAGGATTTGTACCAGGGACTCACGAATTGTTAAATTTAATTTGTATGTTGATTCTTTATAAATGAATTTAAATTTTAGTCAAAGACCGATGTAGTATGCTTCGTGAGATCTATTCATCCTGAGAATATATTTGACGGGTCTCTATAATACAATCTGATAGGTTAAAGAAGCAAAGGAGAAGGCTATGACAATGCTTAATCAATACCGCACTACTGCCAGTCATAGTCAGACGACGGATGGTAGTGGACCTCCTCAGCAATCTACAGAAAGTGCACCGCTACCATTTGTCTCTCTTTTGGAGTTTGTGAGTGAAATTTATCAGGTCAGAATACCTTGCTTTTCCTCTTCGTATTGTCAAATTGGCAGTTAGCATGTGTGGTGAATGCGCTATTTAACTTTTGATCTATGAGCTGTGAGAAACAAGTTATTTGAGGATAAGTTGCAGATTGTCTTTGAAGCATGAAGTGGCGAGAATCTAATGAGAGAAAGTTCTTTGTGAGCACAAGCATGAATTGTTTTGATATTACCATTTTCTATGCTCCAGCTGATGTAATGGAAATGGTACCATAGTGGAAGTGTTCTGCTTAACTTGTAGTTGTATTGCATTGCATTCATGATATTACTTGTCATATATTCCTGCAGCCAACAAGCTCTATTCTATCCACATTTGCAATATTCTTGGTTTGTTTTTGTATCATTTGGGGTATATGAGTCCCTGGAATCTTCTTTTGACGGTCTTCAATGGATTGAATTTGGTTTTGTTCACATGCTTCAAGAGAGAGAGAGATCAAATGGATCTCTAACTATTGGAATCATGATCTATCCAGTATTGTAGTTAATACAGCATATTTTTGTGAATTGTAGTTACCTTGATTCATGCTTTACTAAGTACGGGATTTGAGATATTTCTGCACATTCCTTTGCCTTCTATAATTTTTCTCATTTCTTAGGGTATGCATCAAAAGCAATGAGAGATTACAAAATTCTTCAATAGCTTGATTACTCTCCATTTCTTTCTCTGCTCTCACTAGGACATAGAAGTATCACTATAAATTGGCAATATTTGATATTCAAATTTGCTCGATTTAATTTTCAATATTCTGAAATTGTTTGTTAAGCAAGACTAAAGGAAGTATTCTGAACTTTTTATTTTGTATTGCATATAAAATACAGTGCCTTTTTTGTGTCCCTGTTCACGAACTCACCCTGATGCTTCTTTCTTCAGAAGGAACCTGAGCTGCTGTCTGGCAATGATGTTCTATGGACCTTTGTGAAGTTTGCTGGAGAAGATCATACAAATGTTCAAACACTTGTGGCATTCTTGAAAATGCTAAGTACCTTGGTATGAGCAGTGCACCC